CTTTACATGTACATGTACATTATCATTACTTTGTTGTTAACTGATGCATATACCACTGGTTGTTCTTGTGTTGGTGCTCCCTGTGGTCTCTTCCCTTTAGCAGCAATAGCCAGATCAGCATACACTGGCTTATGAGCTGATTCATCAACTAACACCTATTGAATATAACAACATGAACCTTATAATGTACATACCTTACTAATACATGTACCTGTACCTTATAGTGATGCATATCTGCTAATGTGTACATACCTTATGTACTAATGCATTTACATGTACTACTGGTGTGTGTATGTGTATCAGTTACTATAAGGTGGTATAGGATCTCATTACTGTGAGTGTAATTTGATATCATTCACCCACTGGCTGGTTGTATAGGGCCCACTGTCATATCAGATTACATGAAAGAAGATACAGTAGGTTCACCTCATTACATTATTAGCTAAAAGGGTGTACTCAATTCACCCATTACCCTCTTCCCTTCCTTTATATGATACAATACATTATGTACATGTGGTTCATTATACCTGATACAATATGTACATGTATCCATACCTGGTTGTTAGTGTCCTTGTTAATAGTTGAATATAGTCCAGTAGCACCAGTAGACAGACCCTGTTGAGCTTTATTCTATTAATAATACATTATAACGTACATCCATTAAACAATCTTCATTAATGACTGACCTCTCCCTCTCTCTTCAATACAGAGTATTCCTGTACTCCCTCAGGATTATAGGCAGGAGGAACAGGAGGAGGAGTATCATCGTCTTGATTCAGTGTTGAATAAAGTGGACCAGCTCCTTGTCCTTGTTGTTGTTGTTGTTGTTGTTGTTGTTGTTTATTCTTTTTCTATTTTACATTATTGTTATTGTATGTCTGGTATTTTGTTTATTGTTTATCTACCTACCTCTCCCTCTCTCCTCAGTTCAGAGTATTCTTGTACTCCATTAGGATTATAGGCTGGTACTGGTGGGGGAGTATCATCATTATTGGCTCTAAGAACACTGTACTGACCTAGTGAATATTGTATATTAATAATAATAATAATACAATTACTGAGTCTATACTTAATACTGATCACTATAGAATATCTACTTAAGCACATTATCTATCATGTCATCTTGTCTATCATGTGCTAGTTCATTGTATCTTACAGTCAAACATATGATACCCTGTGTAGGCTGATCTCAGCTTATCCTGTGTTACATGTATACACATTATGGTTCATGTTATGACAGGTATAGGAAGGTAAATGTTATTCTTGCTAATGTACACTAAATGATGACTGGATATAAGTATGTGCTGGGTATATGGTGTATGTGGATTGATTTATTTATTGTATTAAAGTGATGTGTGTACTAATGTCATTGTGTAGTGTATGCAACACTTTACTTAAGTAACCTGTAATACAATAGAATTTTTACTACATTTCCTGATACATGTACTTGTGCTATGTAGAAAGTTTGAGCTGATTCTAACTAAAACTTTTTGAGTTATGGCCATTTAAAAATGACCCAAAATACATTTAAAAGTTGCTTACCAGTAGGAGGTAGTGGTGGATAAGAAGGTGGCCCATCTCCTCCTTGTAGTGTCCTTACAGTAGAAGCAGCTGCTGGAGTATATTCAGTGGTAGGAGTAGCATAAGTAGGATCAGTAGGTTGTAACTAATGAAAGAAACACAACAGCATATAATGATGGGGTCAGTCTACAGTAGTTAGTTATACACTGGAGGATCAGAACCGGAAGAAGGATGAGTTCTATCCTTCAGTCATTAATAAACAAGGATCATTATTATTAATTTACTTCAATATTATTGTTTCTGTATGAACTACCAGTCACTCCTTTAGACTGTGGAGGATATTATCAAAGGCTTATAATAATGATGTGTATTTGTATTACTTTGTTTCCATTACCATTTGCTGTATAACTATATTATAATAAGCAGAAAAGAGTTAATAATTATTAATATGAATTTACTTAACCTTTCTTTGTTCTTTATTTCTATTAAAAGAGAGTTCATTAATTATTAATTACATTAATATTACTTACTGTGTCTTTTAGCATACACCAGTATTATTATTAATGCTATAATAATAATTATTATTATAACAAATACTGTTCCAATAGCTCCTGATATAATAGGAACAGCATTAGAACCAGTAGCGATACTGATGGTACTGGAAGGTATCATAGTTGAAGATGATGAGTCCAATGTACTAGACTTAGTTCTAGTAGTACTAGTTGATGATGTACCAGTAGGAGTGAGTCCAGGAGTAGTTGACATTGTTGCTGTGTTAGTATATGATGATGAGTCAATACTTGATGCAACTGTAACTATGTTAATTATATCAATTCATTAACATTATTTATAACTTACTTGAAGCAGTTGGTATATATATTAATGAATTACTGGTACTAATGTCAGTAGTTAATGTAACTAATAATATACAAATATATATGTATTAATAAATAATGAATTAACTGTACAGACCTGATGATGTAGAATTCATAACTGAACTAGTACTGGTCATTGTAGCAGTTCTACTGACTATATATAAATATAATAAAATACTGTTAGCATGTGCTGTATGGTAATCAACTGTACCATTAACAGTAGCTGATGGTCCATATCCAATAATATTAACAGGAATGATACTAACAGTGTAGTTTGTATCAGTAAGAGGTAGTCCAGTAATGGTGATATTAGTATTAGTTGTATTTTGAGAATTATTGTTGTATGTTAATGTGTAATTATTAATAGGAGGACTTGTATTAGAATCCTGTTAATAATAATGATAATAAGTTAATAATATTTTTACATACTTCATTGTTATCCCACCATATTGTAATACTATCAGTTGATATCTGATCCCAACTAATATTAACAACTTGAGCTGGTACTATAAGAAATACAATGAGTGTGTGTGTGTATAGTACTTACCATTCCATATATACTGTATTAATGATGAAGGAGGTCCTTCTCTTCCAATAGTATCAATAGGAATAATAATAAATGAATAATTAGTACCAATAGTAAGAGAAGGAATAGTTATATTAGGATTGTTCCCAGTAGAGCTGTAGTTTTGTTGAGAAGGTCCATTGCTGTCATTAACAATAACAGTATAGTTCACTATACATTGAATAGTCTTTGGATTCTGATACAACCAATTAATAATCATTGTATATTTATTAATTGGATTTATACTTATATTATTAACAGCTACTGGTGGATCTATTAGTAGTATATGTAAACGATTATATCAATAAATATATCTAACCTGTTACATCAATAGTTAAATTTTTAAATTGAATATTACCAATATCTGTTATTACTCCAATACACCCAATCAAAGTTCCATTCAATGATTCATTGATTGATTGATATGTAGCAGTACTTGTTACTACACTATTGACTTTAGTGACATCAAGGATGAGACCATTAACAGTTATTGGCATTAATATTTCTTCTATGTTGTCATGACCAGGTATTTTCCAGTACACAGTTCCAGTATTAGTTGTACAAGTAAACACTAGTTTATCACCAAGGCACACAGGAGAATAAGATGGAGAGGTTTGAACTAACTCTGCTCCTGATGCTAAAAAAAATTAGGTGAGGTTAATTCATAATTCACTCACAAAATACAAGCAAATTCAAAAGAAGTAGGATCATCATTGGCCACTTTCCTTTAGCAGGCTGTCACGTCCTTTTAATTTATATTGCTGTACTGTGCCCGGGACCCAGCCTCACCCACATGAGACATTTCTGAAACACCGGTAAAAATACAAAGTTAAAATCCCGGGTCCCGCACCCCCATTTTACTGCGCTTTTCACTCCATTTTTTTTAAGGTCTAATATAATAAAACGGATATAATAATGATAATAAACCAAAACCATAGGTAGTGGGATAAAATAAAAGAAAATGAAATAAAAAATTAGGATAAAAATAGGTTAAGTTGGAATAGTTTAGTTGGTGACTCTGCCCTCAGAAAGAGCAAGGTCAAAGTCAAGGAATAAATTAGATGGACGAGTCCGAGTGCCACGGAGGCAAAGAAAGGCAGAGTGGATTAGAGCAAATGATATTTTACAGCGTATCCAAGACAAAACGGAACTATATATAGCATTTCTCTAGGCAGCAAGGAGTGAAGCCAGTCTCTTATAGAAAATTGAGGCAGATGGTCCCATACCTCCAGATGTTGAAAAAAAAACAAGAGGTGTGAAACACCCGTGTTCCACCTGTTGTATGACTCTCATAGTAGTCTGGCCACCCAGACCCAACCCCTGCGGGAGAAGGGTCTGGTATAGTGGGTTTCAGTTGAGTTTGACAGGTGAAACATCCTTATAACTTTTTTGTTATTAATGCTAGCAACTTAAAACTTGGTATGGTTGCATAACGGGTTCTTCCGCATATCTGGATTGATTTTGGAGTCTCTGGGTACTCTGGAAGGTTCTCAACGGGTTCTTCCGGTCTTCATCAAAGAAGCCGCCATGATGTTGCATTGCGTGTTATGCTCGTGAATATAATTTGCATCTCATTACATTTGTTAACAATCATGTTTTATTTGTTTAAAATAATATAAAGCAAAGGAACACCCCCAGACTAAGGGATTATTCACTAGAAGGTCTTGCACTCCAGAAAGAAGCCTCAGCTTGTCTGCTTTACCTCTCCAATCCTTCATAACTGCTGTCACTTTTTACCGCTCCGAAAAACCCTTGTAATCTTGCATTTCTTGCCTCTTTTTTTGAAGTAATAACAAGGATAAAGATCCTGCAGGTAATATGTAGAGGAAATATCGCCCAAAACAAGAGACTCAAGGAGTTAGAGGAAGAAAAGAGAGCACATTGTCAAAGCGTCTAGAGACAGGAATGGATCCAATTAGTTATGTGGGTGGTTTTATATCTGTAATACGCATGCGCATTACTCCCTCATGGACAAAAATCACAAAATGGCTGCCACCAACTGAGTCTTTTTCATATTTCTAGTGCTGTCTTTGTGGTTCCAGGCCTTTTTGTGCTAGTTGTTTGCATGAGTTGGATCACTGATTAGACTAATAGAACCTTGCATTAGGTAATTTATTCTCAGACTGCTATAAATTATGCTTTTTTATATACTGTGACTATTGTAATCACCTATAGAATGTTTCTTCTAATTATCCTTGTGTGAGGAAATGGGCTTTTTAGTCTTTCCTGGGTTATCATTTGTTCCTTCCACCACAATTACTCATTTCAGAACTGTAAGTAACATGCCTGTCAATTTAAGCCTCATTATGGGGAATATGAGGGATTTAATAGGAGGTTCATCACTCTGAGAATGCCCCAGGGTAGGCCGGGATTTTTCTCCAACAAGCCTATAGGAAGACTTTGCTAGTTTGACCAAGTTACGTTTCAAAAATGCTAAGTTTACCCAGCAGAGCTGAGTTCAGTAGCAGTTGAGTGGTTGTTTAACGTTCCTTAAATTTAGTAGGGGATTTGACTGAAGGGAACGGCCCCGGAGGTAGTGATTTAATTAATAGAGGATATGCGTGCTAAGTATATTCATTGCAAAATAATTATATTCATTGCATACCGTAATAACTTTCAAGAAAAAAAATTAGTTCGTTGGACGTCAACTTTCCATTGGCAGCAATGGGAAATGATAGAAAAAGGCTTGGTACCAGGAAACCGCTTTGTATTTCTTGATAGCAATCTTTCAGGTGACTACTAGACCCCATTGGATCCTCAGGATGCTTTCTAAGCTTCCGAAAAAGGCCTCAAGAAGGTAGCAAGGCAAGAAAATGTGTTTTCCCCCATTGAACTCTTAATAAACTTGACGTCCAACATGGTGGCCAATTTACTGTGTGGGTTGGATATACGGTACTAAAAAGCTATGAATATACTTAGCACGCATATCCTCTATTAATTAATTTGAAACCCCAACTATGCCCCATTATGACCTGTACTGGGATAGTGGAGCTTTATATTTATAAGTACACGATAAATTTATTGTAAATGTCTGCTATTTTATATATTTATTTTTTATAGGCATTTTATACCTTGCCAGCGAATTGGATCACAAGAGGTTGCTCATGAGTTTTTGCTTACATGTGTAGTAGGAGACTAGGAGCTCAAGTAGGTACAAGGTTGAGCTGTAAGCTGTGTATAATTATAGACCACTAGCAGTAAAAATTGATTACATAGCAAGATTATTAGAAATTTTTACGGTTGTAAGGTGTGGTTTAGGATGAAATAAATTCAGCTGCCATTTTGGTTGACAACTTTTAATGGAGAACAAACGGGCTGGCATGAAAGCAAACCTGTATTGAGAATTCTGGGGCAAATTGGACCACATCTTTTGGAGAAGAAGCTTAAAGGCAGATCTTTTTTCTTATAACAAGCACATTTTAGCTTTTAATAGAGCTACAGCAGGTAAGTGAGGAATTTTCTTCTTGCATTTATTGCCGACTTAAACTTTCCAACGAAAATGACAGCCAATTATGACATGTGGGCAGATACCGTACCGTATAGCGGAAAATTTTCGTGGATCCGTCCAAAAATCAATTTTGTGGGTTTAATTTTCGTGGTTTTCTACAATTCGGCCATCTTAAACCGTATAAAATTGATTTTCGCGGATTTTATTTTCGTGGATTTTGAAAAAAACGCGAAATCCACGAAAATTTTGGGCCACGAAAATTTTCCGCTATACGGTATATAAAGTTAATGAGATTCATTTCCAATTCTCACTTCCAGTGGTCTATAATTAGCTTTTAAGTCAGTATAGTTTTTAAATTTATAAATTTTTTATTCATGCATTAAATAATGCAAGCAATGACATATTCCACTTTTACAGTACTTCTGACTATTAAAGCTGTTAGTTTTGTAGTTTTGAATTTACATATATGCTATTTTTATGATAATTAGAATGTCACGAAAAGCTATCAGTATTGTTCATGGTGGTGGACGAAACTCTGGATGCTATATTTGGAGATGTTGGTACTTAATATAATAATTATTCATGAAATGATTTATTTTATTATGTTACTGAATTGTACCTAGAAATTTCTTTAATTGTAGCTAGAAATTACTGTCGCCCAAAATTTCTGTGAATTTTGCCAGATTTTATTTTAGCAAAATCACCATGCCTTTCATTGTGTACTGA